GCGCTACTTCGCGCGACCGCGGAGCCTGTTCCATGCTGCCTGCCGCTGCGACAGATTCACCAACGTCTTGCGCTTCCCCTCTTGGCTGTCGGCCATGATGGCATTGGCCAGATCGAGAAGATCCTGCCGCGATAGCAACGCGCCGCGCGAGTTCGATCGCGAGACCAGCGCGCCTTGGAGAGATAGTTATTCCCCCCTTCCTGGAAGGCCATCTTGAGAGCCACGAATTCAGGGAGCCACTTCTTTAAACCGACCAGCGCAGACGGCGAAGCAACGCCGACCTTTTTGAGCTTGGCCGCCTCTGCAGCCAGTTCATCCACGCGATGTGAACTGCGCGCGACGCGACGCCGAAACTGCGCCGCGCGCGCGCGGGCGAGCGCGAGCACCTGGGCCAAAATTCCGCGGGCGATCCTTGCATGCTGATGTCAGACACCACACTGGCAAACTCGAGGCGCGTCGCCTGCGCGGCGCCGAAGACGCCGCGCGCGCGCAACCCCAGCGGGCGCGGCACCTCGTCTGGCCTCTTTCCCGAAAGTAACGCTTCAAGCACCGCCCCTGGGTCGGCGACCCCGGGCTTCGCCGCGCCTTCCTCGCCAGCGGCGGCGAGAGCCCTGCGGGCGCGGGCTTCTTCGCCCAGCATCGAGTCCACTATAAAAGAATCAGCTCTGGGAGAAGGGATCATCAAGTTTCCGAACAAGCTCAACGGCTTGTGCGAAGCACCTGACTACGGACTTCTTAGACTGATACCGACGATGCGAGATCCCCCCCCGCAGAGAACGCGGAATCCTCGACGCGGGCGTCCGCGAGCTCGCGCCATCTCCGCACGCCAGCCGCGTGCAGCGCAGCGGCAATCTTGGCGCCCCAGTCGGGATCGCGACCCTCGGCGCCCTCGACCGCGCAGAGCGCTTCGGTCAACGCCATCTTCGCAGCTTCGCCCGCCATTGTAATAAGGGAGTCCAGCGATGCAATGTCCGCGCGCACCCTGGCGCCGCCGCCCGCGGCCGCGCCGACCCCCGTTTTGCAGCGCTTCTGAACGGCGCGCCGGACGACGCGAAGAAGCGTCGCGCGCGCTAGAGCAACGCGCGCCCAAGAACCTGTCGGGGAGGGCAAACCACACATGGGCTGCTTTACACCAGGTTGGCCGATCGTGGGCCGCCGAGCCAAGACCCCTAGGTTTGCTGGCGATGGCAAGCCATGGGCTGCTTTGTTGGCGATTTGGCCACTCATGGGCCGCCGCGCAAAGACCCCCGGGTCTCCGGGCAATGGCAAGCCACACATGGGCTGCTTTGGTAAGATTGGCCACTCATGGGCCGCCTAGCAAAGACCCCTGGGACTGCCTGAATTCGCAAGCCACGCACGGGTTGCACAGCAAACGATTGGCCACGCATGGGCCGCCGAGCAAAGACCCCCGGGTCGGCTGGCAAAAACAAAATGCAAACGATGGGACAAAGCGCGGCACGCGGCGTCGCATGGGCGGCGTGCACGCCACGAGCCCCGCGTGGCCCCCGCCCCAGAAAGGCGAACCCACGGCGCGCACAGCCGCGCGCGCGGACGGGCCCCACGAGGCCGACCCAACGCCACCCGCACCACGATGCGGTGGCCCAGCGCGGCGGGGCACGCACCCGCCAGCACCCACAGCCTGGGCCAACAGGCCAGCTGCCGCACATGGGGCGGACCGCGGACAGGAGAGCGCCAGCGAGCAGGAGCGGCAGCCGCACAGGCAGAGCAGCACCAGCATCCCTCCCCCCGCCCCAAGGACGAGGAGAGGGCAGGGGAGCGGGGCAGACGCAGGGGCAGCAGTCGTGCCAGCCCACAAGCCTTGCGACAGCGCGAGCACTGCCCCCGAGTTCGCGGGCTCATCTGCACGAGCCAATGTGGGAACCCCTCCTTTACAAACCGCCTTTCCGTCCAGATCGACCCTCCATCCCTGACCCTCGCGTCGTCTTGTATATATATATATATATATATATATATGTATAATCGTGTTAATGTAGCTTTGCTCGTTTTATACCAGATCATATATATAAGTATTATTCATAACAAACAACAACAACAACAACAACAACAATGTGTTTGTTTTTTTTTACAAAAAAAAATAATATAAAAAATAAAAATAATAATTTATATCCATATATATATAATAATAATAATATACATATCTATATATACATTTATATATATAAAAAAAAAAAAAAAAAAAAAAAAAAAAAAAAAAAAAAAAAAAACGCCAAATATGTAGTGGCATTGCAGTTGCGGGGCCCTGAGGCCGTCAGAAGCGGCTCGGGATGGGGGTCCAGACCTCCTGGGGGGCAGTGCTGCAGCAACAAAGCGACGACTGAGTTCTCGGCCCCCCTCCTTCCCTCCGATCGTTGCCCCGACTGCCCCCCGCCCATCAGACGAGACAAGGGCGCGACACTGTCGGTGCTGCTCGGCCCTCCGCTTGGAGTCCGAAGGCATGGGCAGCGGCCAGGCGAGCCCTCCGCCTGGCTCCCCCCCCCTCCTTCGGCAGCGAGTGAGGGTGGCTCCTCGCTGGAGTGGCTTCTGGTGCGCGGCCGTCTGGGGGATGGCAGAGGCGGCCAGACCCCTACTAGAGGCCGCTGTCGTCCGCGCGCAGGCGGTCATTGGTAGGGTGAACGTTGCGTGCAGCCGACTCTCCCACCCCTGCCCGTCCGACGGAAAACGGATGACGCGCTCGATGTTGTTGGGCCACCCGCTGGAAGGCCGAAAGCACGGACAACTGACGGCCTTGTTGATCACGATGGTGATCATGGCGGACCGGATCCGCCCGGGTCGAAGCGGCCCGCCCGCATCGAACGGCCGGTTCGCCAGATCGGATCCTTTTGTCGAACGGACGTGTTCGATCCCACGGATCAGGATCGGGCGCCAGATCAGATCGTGGATCGAGCTCCGGCGCGAGCGCGGCTCATGGATCGGAGGCCCGATCGGGCCCGCTGGATCAGGAATCAGGACCCGAAAATCCGATGTCTTGATGTTTGCCCCACCCTCTTGCGTTGGGTTCTCGTCTTGAAGCGAGCCGTGCAATCTCCAGATTCTCTCCGCCTGCCTCCTGCCTGCCTCCTGCCTGCCTCCTGCCTCCTGCCTCCTGCCTCCTGCCTCGCCGTCCTGCATGGGGCCTCGCTTGGAGCCTGCGACGTGCGAAATGGTCGCCACTTTCGAGGGCTGCTGGGGGGGGCAGCACACTGGGCGCCCGGCGCGCACTCAGATGGGACCTCGCCATCCCTGGGGGGCTGCAACTGCGAAGCCGTCGCCACTTCCGGGGGCTGCTGGGAAGGGCAGCATGGCGGGTACTAGGCGCGGAGACAGACTGGACCTCGCCATCCCTGGAGGGCTGCGACTTGCGAAACCGTCGCCACGTTCGGGGCTGCTGCGGGGGCTTGCACACTGGGCACCAGGCGCGGTCTAAGATTGCACCCTGCCATCCCTGGGGGGCTGCGAACTTCGAAACTGCTGTCAGTTTCGAGGTCTGCTGGGGGGGATGCATAGTGGATACCAGGCGCGGTCGCAGACTGGACCTCGCCATCACTTGAAGGCTGCAACTGCGAAGCCGTCACTGCTTTCATGGGCTGCTGGAGGGCCAGCATAGTGAGCACCAGACGCGCACTCAGATTGAACCCCGCCATCCCTGGGGGGATGCGAACTGCGAAATGGTCGCCACTTTGGAGGGCTGATGGGGCGAATTGCGAAATGGTCGCCACTTTCGATGTGCTGGGCCCACTTTCGAAATGGATGCGAATTTCGAAATGGGGCCAGCACACCGGGCGCCAGGCGCAGATTCGGGCTAGACCTCGCCATCCCTGGGGGGCGGCAAATTGCGAAGCCGTCGCCATTTTCGAGGGCCTCACCACTTTCACGGGCTGTTCGGGGAGCCAGCACAGTGGGTACCAGGCACGGATGCAGATTTGACCTCGCCATCTCTGAGGGGTTGCGAACTGCGAGACTGCCGCCACTTTCGAGGACCCTGGGGGGGCGACATTCTGGAAGCTAGGCGCAGATTCAGCCTAGACCGCGCTCTCCCTGGGGGGGGGGGGCGAAGTGCGAATTGTCGCCACTCTCGTGGCATGCTGGGAGGGCCGGCGCAGCGGCGCCACACCCGTGCGGGACGGAGCCACCATCGACGCGGGTGGCAAGGACGACGACGACCTGAACGCGGCTTGTGTTCTACGTGATGCTGCCCGGCGCCACGAACGTCGACCATCTCCTGATGATTTGGGGGCCTGGGCTTGCAGTTCCTCTCTCGCGGGCCTCCCGCCGACCACGCGGTGCGCCTGCGAGCTCCTATACCTCCCGCGTCGAATGAAAGGCGGGAAGGGGCCGAGCAGCTGGCAAGGCAGCTCGGCTTTACGCCGTTCCTGCCCCGATGTTGATTGATGATTCGCATGCCTCGACCTCCGCCCTGCTCTCGTCGTTACCCCCGTTCCTGCTGCCGTTCCCTTTCACTGCGGCTTCGCTGACATTTCGGGCCCACGTCTGCCTTGCACCTCTGCTCCTCGACCCCATTCGACTTCGAGCCACGGGCATATTTCATTACCTCCGTCAAGCCTTCGTCCATAGATCTGCGTCTTGCGAATCGCACAAGCCGCGAGCTTCCACAGCATCGCTAGCAACATTTTCCAGTTGATAATCCCGAAGAAATCATGACCAACTGTTCCAGCCACGCGCTGCACAGGGGGCGAGGGACGTCGCCAGGGCAACGCCACGCGGGCCCCCCAGAAGTCCCGACCCTTTCCCTAGCACCGGTCTTTCATCCTGAGGCGGTATTGATGTTCCCAGGGCCAGGCGAAAACCCTCAGAGACCGAACGTTACAAAACAACCAAAAAAACAACATCGAATATTCTATACTTTGGAGGTATGGGGATCTCAGGATAGCGCCCCAAATCGGCCAGGATCGGGGGGTGTATCTAAGATGAAGAAAATGATCTGCTGACGACGACGGGGGGGCAACCGGGGAAGCAGAGGCTGCGGGCACCCGCGCCCCAAGGACGAGGAGGCGGCGCTGCCTCCGGAGGGGGCCGTCACCGCGGGCCAGGCCACTCGCGAGCGGCCCCGCGCTCACGCACTGAGTTCGTCTCGTCCGCGCTGGGCCGCCAGCACCGAACGTGCTCGATACGCCTGCGGGCGGCAAGCTTCACGTTTCGTCGACGCGGCGGCGGCCCAAGCTCAGGCGTTTCAGGTCGAGTCGGAGGCGGAGTTGGTCGGCAGCTTTGGGGCAGCGTGTCGCCGCGCAGGTTCTGGCCCAACATGCTTCGGCGCGACACGCCATCCACGTCCTGGTCCCTCGGAGTCAACGCCCCGAGGTCTTCGAAGCCTCCCGCCCCCGCGGAGCGGAGCACCACGCCATCCGCTCGCAGGGCAGGGCGTGTCACAGGGGCCGCCGCCGCGGCACGCGAGGCAAAGCTTCCCGGCCGTAGCACCCCGACCCTTCCAGGTCGAGCAGTTCATGGAGGGAGCGAGGAGTGGCGAGGAGGAGGAGGAGGAGAAGGAATAGGTCATCTCTCCGCTCGTGGCGCCAGCTGCGGCAGCCCTCCCTCCCTGGGGTGGCACGTCATGCTGGGCATGGCCGCGGGTTTTTGTTTTACCGCAGGGTGCTTTGCTCAAGGAAGCTGTGTCCACCCGGTTGAACGAAGCCAGTGGCCTGGAGCCGATTCCGTTATCGAACGGCCCGCGCTGCCTTAAAGCCACGATCCTTCAAGGTTGATCAGGGGGAAAAAACACGCAGACACAGTTCATCGTCGATTCCCCGGAAAATATGGGAAAATATGGGAGGTGGGGGGGGCAGACAAAAACCCAGAAAGAAATTTGAAAATATGGGGAAGCCTGCTATTTGTGTGTATTTATGTGTGTGTGTGTGTGTCCCAGGGCCCCTTCAGTTGAGCAACCCTTTGCGGTGTCAGAAGCCAGCGCCGACGGCATCACGGCGTGAGCCCGGCCGTGGGTCACCTGCGGGAGTGCAAGAGGATGAGCGCCTTTCGCGTGTTGCGATCTGGGCCGAAGTGCTGTCATTATTCAGGAGGGAAAAAGCACACAGACACAATGAATCGTCGATTCCCCAGAAAACATGGGAAAATATAGGAAGTGGGGGGGGAAGACAGAAACCCCGAGAATATGACAAATATGGTGAATCCTGCTATTTGTGTGTATTTATTTGTGTGTCCCAAGGCCCCTTCAATTATCCAGGGCGGCTGCGCGAGAGCGCGGAGATAATTGCACGTCTCGTTTCGCGCGGCACGAACAGCGAATATGGGTGGCTTGGGATATTGCCGTTGAACACCCAGGCGTCGTGAGAAAAACCGTGACGATAATTTTGCACCTGGCGGGGGGCACAAGGGAACGTGAACAGATTTCGGGACAGGGAGAGGCAGAGGGGAAGGTGAGAGAAGTTGGAAGTCCGTGCACCTCACGTTTTGTCTTGAAAGTGTGCCGTTCTATCGTGGCCCTCCTCCGTCGATCCGTGGTCTCGGATGTTGCCCGCTGCTGTTGCAACGAAGCATGAAGCTTGAACAACCATAGAGCACGAAATGCGTAAGTGGGCATATACCTATACGACCACCCTTCGGGTGATAAGGAGGTTCGGGGGGGGAGGAACCAACGTCTCACTCGATCGGTCTCACTATCGATCTCACTGTCGATCTCAGTATCGGTCTCGCTCGATCGATCTCCCTCGATCGATCTCACAATCGATCTCACTCGATCTATCTCACAATTGATTTGACTATCGATCTCACAATCGATCTCACAATCGATATCACATTCGGTATCACTATCGATTTCACTATCGATATCACAACCGCTCTCACAATCAACGTCATCATCATTATCAACAACAACATCAACATCAACATCATCATCACCAACATCATCATAATCGGGACACCGTCCTCATCATCAACACCAGCATCATCATCATCACGGTCATCAACATCATCGGGACACCACCATCATCATCATCATCATCACCATCATCACAATCATCATCATCAACATCATCATCAGCAGCATCGGGACACAGTCATCGTCATCATCATCAGCAGCATCATCATCGGGGCACCATCATGCTCACCATCGTTAGCATCATCATCATCATCATCGGAACACCATCATCATCATCTCATCCTCATCATCGACATCATCATCATCATCAGCATCATGATCAGCATCATCATCATCGTCGTCATCATCGGGGCACCATCATCATCATTAACAACATCAGCATCAACATCATCATCATCAACATCATCACAATCACCATCAGAATAATCATCATCATCGGGACGCCATAATCATCATCAACCTCATCATCATCAACATCATCATCATCGGGACACAATCATAATCAGCATCATCAACATCAACATCATCATACTCATCACCATCGGGGCACCACCATCGTCATCATCATGATCATCAACATAATCATCATGATCATCATCATCTTCATCATCGGGACACCATCAGCATCATCATCGTCATCATCATCATCATCGACATCATCATCATCATCATCATCATCATCATCGGGACGCCATAATCATCATATCATCATCATCATCATCGTCCTCGTCATCATCAGCAGCATCACCATCATCATCATCATCATGGACGTCATCATCATCAGCAGCAGCATCATCATCAGCATCACCATCATCATCATCATCGTCATCTCATCATCATCATCATCATCATCATCATCATCATCATCATCATCATCATCATCATCATCATCATCGCGGGACACCGCGGGATACCGGCGGGACACCGCGGGGCACCGCGGGACATCGCGGGACTTTCGCGGGACACCGGCGGGACACCGCGGGCCACCGGCCGCCCTGAAGGGAGTCATTTGGTCCGGCCGCGCCTCAGCCACACGGGACTTTCGCGGGACACCGGCGGGACACCACGGGCCACCGGCCGCCCGGAAGGGAGTCATTTGGTCCGGCCGCGCCTCAGCCACAGGAGACTTTCTCTCGCCCGCCCACGCAGCTTCGCCTCGCCCGCACGCACGGCACGCACGAACACGAAACCGAAATCGATTTCCCGGTAGGGGGGCTCTCCGTTCCACTTCGATCTCACCCCCTCACCTCCGACTTACACACAGGCACTGCCCTCATCAGGACACACCGCCGCAATGCCCTAACGTTTCGGTAAGCCTGTTGCCAACTCGGACTTGAGTTGTGCCGACGTGGTACCAGACACCCATTTGATCGATACTGTGCTGGACCAGGCGTCGGAGCTGGGGTCGGAGAAGGCGTCGGAGAGTAGGAACGCATTAAACATGACGAAAGCGCAGAAGACACAGAGAACACAAGTCTGGCAGCTGGCGTCAGAACAGGCGATGGGGAAAATTCCAACAGGTCGAAGCGACGTTTTACACAGAAGCCGCTGGCACGTGCAAGTCTCGTCCAAACAATTTAGTAGCGTAGTGGTATGCAAGAGGCGGTAGGAGCGCATAGCGCGTTGAAAAGTAATGAACAAAATTGATAACATCCAACATCACTCGTGATGAGGAGTAAAGAACAAAAGCAGGTACGACGAGAGCAATGCCCTGACAGACATTGCAACGACGCATGAAGCTTGAACAACCATAAAGTACGAAATGCATCAGGGGCGGGAACGTACATGCATTGCCCTCATAAGGGCACACCGCTGCAATGCCCCAACGTTTCGGCAAGTCTGTGCCCAACTCAGACGTGGGGTGTGCCAACGTGGTACCAGACACCCAGCTGATTAATACTGTGCCGGACTGGGGGTCGGAGAAGGCGTTGAGGAGTGGGAATGCTGAAAATATTACGAGGGCGTAGAAGACACAGAGAACACAAGCATGGTGGTTGTTGGTGTCAGACAGGTCGAAGCATCGTTGTACACAGAAGCTGCTGGCACATGCAAGTCTCGTCCAAATCATTCGGTTGCGTAGTCGGTATGCAAGTGGAGGTAGGAGCGCACAGCGCGTTGGCTAGTAACGAGCAAAAGCGGTAACATCCAGCATCACGCGTGATTGGGGGCACGTCGCATTGCGATGCTGGTCCCACCAACAGCACCGCTGTAATTGGGGTATCTGTTGTTGCCAGCGTGAGCGGGCCCGGCTTCCTCCCTCCCGCCGTCGCTGGGCGTTGTTCCTCTTTCCCTCGCGCCTTGCGGCTTATTTCTCATTTGCTCGTCCAGCTGTTGCTCTTCCGCCAGCGCAGTCACTCTGCCTAGCCGCCGACGCAAAAAGTGTGTGAATGGTAGCTGCGTTGCCCCTGAATGTTTAAGCTTCTGGTGTGCATTCGAGAATACACGTGCAACTAATAATGTAGAGGGAGAGAGAGAGAGAGAGAATGGGGAGGAAGAGGAGCATCTGAAAGGGAGGGAAGAAGCAGGGATGAGCAAGACAAACATGAGGAGTAGAGGAAAGAAGGAGCAGCAGCACCAGGCGAAGCAATACAAGAGAAGGAGGAGCAACAGGAGATGGGAGAGGAGGGAGGGCGAGGGAGCAAGAATGAGGAGGATCTGTAACATAATGGTGGGAGGAAGAGGAGGGGGTGGCTGGAAGGGACATGACGATGACAAACAGGACTGGTCAGCAGCAGCAGTACCAGGAGGAGGCAGGAGGCGGGAGCCAGGAGTGGGCTGAGGAGCAGCAACAGAAGTTGCGACAGCAGGGGGCTCAGCAATACAGGATTGAAGAGGAGGAGGAGGAGGCGGAGGAGGAGGAAGAGGAAGAGGAGGAGGACGAGGAGGAGGACGAGGAGGAGGACGAGGAGGAGGAGGAGCAGGATTGAGGAGGATTGAGGAGGAGGAGGAGGAGGAGGAGGAGGATCCGTGCCGCGGATCGTCCCGCTGTTGGCACGGATTGCAGCCGAGACTGCAGGTTGGATTGGGCAGCGCGGACGCCAGGCCGACAGGGGCAGCAAGAAGCGGGGCGGCGTCGCCAAGACCGGCAGCAAGAGGCGCCCCATCCGCGGCCCCCGCCTGCGCGCCTGGGACGCGAGGCTGGGGGGGGGGAGGAGGAGGAGGACGAGGAGGAGGAGGAGGAGGAGGAGGAGGAGGAGGGGAAGGAGGGGGAGGAGGGGGAGGAGGGGGGAGGTATTCGGCATCCCCCGTCGGCTCCGCTCGCCCTCGCCCAGCTCTCCGCCCTCACTGCTGGTCACTCGCCCTCCCGGGCGTTCGCTCCTGCCCTCGGCCCCCCTCCGACCTCCCCCATGTTGCTATATCTCTCTCTCTCTTTCTCTCGGTGTCTTTCCCTCTCTCTCTCTCTGTGCCTCGCTGTCTCTCTCTCTCTCTCTTTCTATCTCTCTTTTGTTTTCACCTCGGGGATATCTGGGATTGGTGTGGAAGTCTTGGACTCTCTGATATGAAGGGGGCCAATATCGCGCTCGGGCTTAGAAGCTCTGTAACCTCTTGCGCGGAATTGGTGTCCGAAGCCTGCAGCAATCATGTCGGTCACAGAGCACGTGTCCCCCGTATTGCTGTATACGTGTCCTACCCGTAGGTCCCATCCGATCCTACCCTCCATTTGTCGTCCTTCTCCTGAATCCACTCCTCTTTTTTTTTCTCTTGGTCCGTAACTCCGCTGATCAGCTTGGTACGCGTTGCGTACGAACTGTTTGCGAGTTTCTTGTTGGGCCGACAGCTGGACGCCGGCGCAGACGAGAGCTCGATTCGATCGTAGTTCGGAGTCCGGCGGGGGAGAGGCACGACAGATGCGGTTCACTCCGTCAGGAGGTACATCGACCGTGCGAATGCCGAGAAAGTGGGGGCCATGGCTGTGGTCGCCCTCGATTGGAAGAAAGCTTTCCACTTCATCAACGTTGAAGCGCGAATCTGGAAATTCGGCGTATCTGGACGGATGCTGTCAGTCATCAGAGACATACGAGCACCGCAGTTTCTACATGGCCGACAACGGGCGCCTTTGTCAGGACAAGTAGCAACTGTCCGGGATATCGCAGGGGTGCCCATTGTCGCCATATTTTTTGTCATTGTGATGTGGGTAGTAGTGGGAGTCGCCATCGGCCATTTAGACGATGTATCGAAGGAGGCGTATGATACAGGTGTTTTGTCCATGTTGCTTTAGATCGGCGACGCGCTTCTCCTTGGGAGACATCAATCCCATAAACAGCGGTTTCTGTGGGGAAGTGGCAGCAGCAGGAGCCCGTGTCGGCATGGAGCTACAGCGGGAGAAGTTCCAGCTGCTGAAATCAATTGCGACGTTGACATTCGGTCCCCGTCAGGAGCGAGAATCGGGCCCAAAGATCGCATGGTCGATCTGGGAGCAATTCTGCACAGTTCTGGTCGGCTAAGTGGCGAACTCAGCAGGCGCATCGGGGCCGCCTGGGGGGAGTTCTCCAAATTTGAGAGCGTGGAAGCACACGTCGCTCGCCAGAGCCAGGAAGCTCCATATGTTTCCGGCACCTGCTACGAGCAAGATGTTATTCTCTTTGGGCTCTGCGTGGCTGAATCAATCAGAGCGGCGTCGCGTGGATGGTTTCCATGCCAAATGCCTCAGACGGATCTCGAACATTGCCTCAGCATGCTTGTCGCGCGTCTCGAACAGGAGCGTTCTCGAGGCCGTTTGCAGGGCTCCATACAGCGCGCACATGTTGAAACATACATTTACGCAGTATGGAAGATTGGGGGGGCCGATGACCAGGACATTCTCAGACAGCTGACCTTGCAACAACGGACAACGTTGCACGCTGCGACCCAATTCTATAGGAGAAAGGGCCGGCCGAGGAGCGATTGTGCCACGTGCTTACATAAGAAAGTGCAGAGCTGCTTTGGGCCCAGCGAGATGCGACTCCATTGCGTACGAGATGAACGTCGGTTGCGGGAGTTCGCCGAGAACCACATTATTCTGATGTTCGCGATCCCTGGTAGGCACGCCCATTCATCTTGTTTCCATTGTCCCCCTGCCGTTGTTGTGTCTATCCCTCCTGGTATCGTTTTTTCTTCCTTCCCTTCCTCATTGCAACGCAAGCTGATCTGAGCTTGTCTTCCGCCCGCGCGCCGGACGGCGCATGGCTTGAGTGCGAATGCGAGTCCTCGACGGCCAAGAGCGGCGACGCGCCAACCCGAGCCCCAGGATGGGCTTGGCAGGATTTGGGCGCCGAAATGTGCTTCTGCGCCTCGACGAGGGCCCGCGGAAGCTGGCGGGAGTGCAGCAAACGCAGCTCCGCTGGTTAAGGCAGCGGCCCAGCATGGGGGTCCCGTGGGGCCTCTTGGGGCATTGTCAGGACCCCCTTTGCGACTCCTTATGGGGGTCTTAAGGCTTTCTTTGGGCTCATTGGAGGGGTCTGGGAGGCCTCTTGAGCTCCATGGCTCAAAAAGGTGGGGGGGTCCTCAATTCAGGCCCCCTCCCCCTTCGGAGACACACGATGTCGTTTTGAACCGGCGGAGGCCAGCGGAAGCAAGACAAGGTCTCCCGAGGTCAGCGCCGGCGTCTTTGGGGTTTCTGGAGACGGCTGCTTTGAGATGGTCGAAGGGTCATTCGGTCGTTGCTGGTCCTGGCTGGATTTCGTTGGTTCCACCTCCCCCTTGTTTTCAAACGCTTTGCTCCCAGATGTTTGTTCGGCCGTCCTGGGGCCAGGAACGAGATTATGTGGCCGCGATCGGAAGCAGGATAGCAGTTGGCGTGCAGCCGTCCAGGGCCGCAGCCAGGGCTTAGGAAAGGCCCTGCCAGGCCTTGTTTGGGGCAGAAGAGGAGGAGGAGGAGGAGGAGGAGGAGGAGGAGGAGGAGCTGGGTACGCTAGAGGAAAAGGAGGAGGAGGAGGGGGAGAACGACGACGACGAGGAGCATGACGCGGGGAGGAGAACGGGAGAGGAGCGAGGAGGATCGTTGTAGTTGATGTCTTCTTAGCGCTTGGCCCGCATACGCGGGCCAGCTGCGGTGGTGCAAATACCTCTTGTGTGTGTCCCATGTTGTTCGCGTGTCGCCGACGGAGCGCTCGGCCTGCGATCATGAGAAGTCGGCGTGTTGCAATCGCGTGTAGAAAAGCAGTAGCATTCACAATACCGCATCGAAGACCGAGTGGAATGCACATTCTCAATTTCCCCCGCGGCTCCCGGGGCTGAAGCGGAGCTGCAGGTCAGAGGGCGGCAGGGCAGCATGCCGTGATAGCAGGCCCATGCCAGGCCATGCCCGTGCTGCACTGCGCCGCGCGCTGCATGTAGAAGCATCTCTGCCACCCCGCGGCCCGCAGGAGAAAGGAAAAAGCCGGGCAGGACGGCGAGGAGGGGAAAGAGGGTGAGCCAAAAAGACCAGGCAAGAAGAGGACTCGTGGCTTGCGCTCTCGCCTGAGTGCGCATCTCGGGTCTCTCGTCTCGGCAGCACGGTAGCAGCCTTGATCCCCGCGGTGTGCCCTCACGCATGAGTGGGGACGCAGACGCAGCTTCGACGAAGTCAGCGGCGTTCCCGACGTCTGATTCCGGCCACAGCGGTAGGGCCCAGGCATGATCCCACGAGCCGCGTCTGCAGCAGACCAAGTTTGCAGAGCCGATGCCGCCATGAGCCAATTTCAGATGCGCTGTGCAGATGTCGGGTGGCAGAGGTGCTGTTCCGACGGTTCCGAGCCAGGCAGTGGTCTGATCAAAAGGCATGCCTCGATGTTGTGGTGTTTACCATCGTGCCCTGATCGGTCTGGTCTGCCTCTCATTCCGAAGTGCCCCTCCTCTAGCTGCAGTCATCGAGGCCTTGCAGCGCCGGCCCGCCCCGCCGCCAGGCCGCCCAGCTCGGGTTTAAGATTTGTTTCAAAGCATTGTTATGTTTGCGTCGTCCCGACAGGTGCAGATCACGGAGTACTCGAAAATAGGAATCCGAGTTTTTTCATCAACGTTAGGACGAACGTTGCGACCTACGTCGAGTTTGCTTTGGCCTTCTAGAATCTAATGTTGGTCATGTTTATAATTGGTATTTACGATTTTATAGGCCGCGGAGGCGGCAGCCCGCTAGTGCGCGTGCGCGGGACGGACGCGCGGGCTCTGCACGAGCCGCGGCGTGGGGGCTCCGTTCCACGTGCCCGGCATCGCTCGGACGTGTGTATATTTTTTGCCCGGCGAGGACCATCGAGGAGCATCCTTTTATCATTTCGCGAAGAAACCACGCACGAAACCACAAAAAGCACAGGAAATGGACGTCCGAGCGATGGCCAGACGTGCGTGCCGCGTGCCAGCTGGCGCCTGGCGCGGCGCGCGTGCTCCTTCTCGGGCGCGGCCTCTCTCTCTGGTCGAGAGGGCGGCTCACCAGGCAGGCCCCCGGCAGGCCAGCAGGGGCCCGCCGTCGGGGAACACACAGGAGAGGCTACGCATCCCATGTCTTGGCAGCGCTCGGGTGTGTGCATTTCTCCTACGGCGAGGACCATCGAGGACCATCCTGGACCATCGAGCAAGAAAAAACGCGCACGAAACCGAAGAATGCACGGGAAATGGACGTCCGAGCGATGGCAAGCGTGCGTGCCGCGTGCCAGCTGGCGCTTGGCGCGGCGCACGTGCCCTTCCTAGGGCGCGGCCCCTCGCTGGCCGAGAGGGCGACTCACCGGGCAGGCCCCCTCTCGTTCCGAAGTGCCCCTCCTCCATCGCAGGCCTAGAGATTGACACCAACACCAACATCGGCCGTGTACATCCACCGAGGGAAGAAGATCCCGATCTCGGTGATGCTGGTAATATTCTGGCTTCCAAGGTGGCCAAAGTATTCCCACCAGCACCGAAATCTAGGATCGTCTTGCCCCTGTGGAGGCAACCCCCTTTGTCGGTGTAGTCATCCAACTCCAGGCCTCCAACTCCAGCTGCAGTCATCGAGGCCCTGCAGCGCCGGCCCGCCCCGCCGCCAGGCCGCCCAGGCTCCCCCCCCCACCAGCCCCGGGGCACCGCGGAGGCGGCAGCCCGCCAGTGCGCAAGTGCGTGGGACAGACGCGCGGGCTCTGCGCGAGCCGCGGCGCGGGGGGCTCCGCTCCGCGTGCGTGCCGCGTTGCCAGCTGGCCTTGGCATCGCTCGGACGTGTGCTTTTTTCTCGGCGGGGATTAGTAAGGAGCATCCTTGATCATTCGGCGAAAAAACCACGCACGAAACCGAAAAAGAACACAGGGAATGGACGTCCGAGCGATGCCCAGCTGGCGCTTGGCGCGGCGCGCGTGCTCTCTCTCTCTCTCTCTCTCTCGGGCGCAGCCTCTCTCTCTCTGGTCGAGATGGCGGCTCACCAGGCAGGCCCCCGACAGACCAGCAGGGCCCGACGTCGGGGAACACACAGGAGGGTCTACGCATCCATGCCCGGGCGTCCGAGGAAATCCGTGGGGAGTCTGTCCTTGGCAGCGCTCGGACGTGTGCATTTTTCCTTCGGCGAGGACCATCGAGGAGCATCCTTGATCATTTGGCGAAAAAACCACGCACGAAACTGAAAAAAAACACAGGGAAAGGACGTCCGAGCGATGGCCAGTGTCGGGGTGTCCCAGAGTTTCGGGAAGGCCGAGTGGCGTCTGCCGGGAGGGTCGCCGCGCCCTCCGTGGCATGGCCCCTCTTCGAGCCAAGGAGGGTCTGAGCCGATGCCTCCGCATCGGCCTGCCAGGAGCTCTCCCCCATCCATCTTGGCACCTGCTCGATCTTCCCTGCCCGGGCGCAGTGGCCACTCTGAGGATGCGCACGCCTGAGCAGCACAGCTCCAGCCGCCCACCATCGGCGAACTGAGTGCTCTGCGCACAGCGGGCTGCCTGACCTGCCTCTTCCTCACGGATTGCTCATCAATCGCCACATCGCAGTGGCACAGGCAGCGCACCGCATCGCATCTTCATGCGACTCAACGCAGCTCTGGTCTCGCGAAGGGAGCGTGGGCGGGCGGGCGTCACGGGGAGACGATTGTATCTCGTCGGCATTGCTCCTCAGAAGGGTTCACGGTGGTAAGGTCCTTCGAGGTCCTTTCTGTTCCGTGTCGCCCGCCAGACGCGCGAGAAGTTGTTACAGTCTGGGGTGAAGTGGGTCTGTGTTGTTTCTGTTGTTGATCCTGCCAAGGTTTCCCAAGGTCGTTCCCGCGTAATGCCTCGACGATTACCCAACGGTATCCCGATTGATTGGTTCAAATGTTTCGATGCACGACATGTTCCGATCGAGCACACTGCCCCGCTCGTTTTATCAAGATTATCCAGATGGTGTCCAGAATATGTCCCGACGGATTTGCAAGGGTGTCCCGATCGTTGCGCGATCGATTCAAGGTTCGGAGAATGGTCATCATGGACTTGATATCAATGCCAATGGTGGTTTTGATTCGACTGACTAGTACAAGTTTGATGATAGTACCATAAGCGCCCCCGTTGCGTTACGACGGTGCCCCTGCAAAGACAATAGTTTTGATTCCGAGCGCGAGAGCGAGACAGGTGAGGATCCTTGAGTATTGCAGGCGGTTTTCTGCAGCGTGGTAAGCTTAGGAAAGTTCATCGTTCATTTTCGAATGCGTCTGAATAAGCTTCGGGGAAACATGAGCGACGAAGGAAAACGAGGTCGTCTTCACCGACATTGGCGCGCAAGCTGCCCGCGAAAGGTCGCGCGCAAGCGCCCTCTTCTCGATGCGGTGTTCCGCGCTGGCGGCCCGCGTAAGTCACCGCGTAAGGACGCTGCGTCATCTCTCGTAAAATCAATGCTTGTGTCGATCAATGAAACAGGGTTTGAACTAATGTTGAATCGAGCTCCGATGGGGAAGCCGCCTCGTGCGATGGGAAGTCAGATTCCGCCCATCAAACGAACTGTTGCGCCGATGATGTCCCGAATGATTCGCTGAGTGCTCAGTACATTATTGTTGTTTGAGACCACCCCCCACGGGTCTGATAAATTTCTCGGATTGATGTGCGATGGCTCGGCAATGTTTGTGGATGGTGATGCCGAGTGGGACCCCGGTGGGTACGAGCAAGTTGCACGACTGGTTCGCGATGGGTTAGCCATATAGTTGGCGTCTGAGATTATGAGGATGGCACTGGCCACCTTAACGATTTCGGCTATGCACGTGGTGGCAACAATGGTGTGTATGAGCATCGCGGCGCTGCGCATGCGCAAGCAATCAGTCAATATCTTATGGTCTTTGGCTCATCCCGCCATCGTGCCTGGGTTGTGGGTCAGAGTTCTCAGGAATGCTTCTTGGAGTCTCTTCGGAGCGTTTTCGGGGGCCTCCTCGGGGCAGGAGCCTGTTTGGGGCCTTCTGGGGGTCCCTTGGGGGCCTCTTGGGGCCTCTTGGGGGCCTCTTGGCGCATCTGGGGGCCTCCTGGGGGCCCCTCAGGGCCGAGGGCTGGAAGTGTCCCATCGGTTCCTCCCATCTGGGCCCGCTCTTGGAGCCGTCTTTGGGGTCTCGTGGGCCGTCTTGGGTGCCTCTTGGGCCGTCTTGGGGCGCTCTCAGGCCGTCTTGGGGCCCTCTTGAAGGCCTTTTGGGCCGTCCTGGGGCGATCTTGGGGGCCGTCTTGGAGCGTCGGATAACAGACAAGGCGAGAACGCCAAAAGCGCTCAAACACTTGAGGACACATCAAAGGTGTTAACCTTTTGGGGCCATTTCGGGAGGCCTCTTGGGGCGTCTTGGAGGCCTCTTGGGCCATCTTGAGGCCATCTTTGGCGTCTTGGCACAATCTTTCGGCGAGTCGGGACCCTCTTGGAACGTCTTAAGGGCCTCGTGCGGCCCCCTTGTCCCGTCTTGTTGGGGGCCTCTTGGGCCAAAAAAACAATGCGACAAGATGCACTGCAGCCCAGGGGGCACGCGGGAAATCCCAAGAGATGTGTGAATTTGGGCTCCGAGCCCTTTGAAGACTCCTCAGGAGCGCTTAAGGGATTAGGCACAGGACCTGAGGACACGCCCACTCCGTGCCCAGCGACACGGTGGCGGATGTGGGGCAAGATGAATTTCGAAGCTACGTACACAACACATTCGAATTGGTTGGTATGTGTTCTCTATGTTGACCTATGTGGGCCCCGATCGGTGTGTGCAGGACCATTTAGAAATCCGGTTTCCGCGGATTCCGAGTCGTATTCGGTTTTATGATGTGGAAAGCTTACAACGAATATGGTCCGGAACGCGCAGACCAAACCTGAGAAGACATGTTGACATGTGTGTAAACATATACACACGAATAGCACGGGAGGCCATCATACCCCCAGATTATTGGCTAGACGCCAGCATCGTGCTTATCGAAACCTTGTGCCCTAGCCAGTCCACCACCCAGCTCAACCAGCCCAACTAGCCCATCCGCCCACTCGCCAGCCAACCAGCCTGCCCCCGCCGCATGCCCTCCGCCATCACCGAGGGAAGGGG